GGGCATGTGGGAGGTAGCTGATGGATGTTTCTCTCTCATTGATGTTTCTAACTCTCTATCCTTCTACTTCCTCTCTGTAAAATCAATAAAATATATTTTAAAAAAAGAAAAAGAAAAATATCCTCGGATGAGGATTAACAACAAAAGAAAAGTTGACAGTGGTGATTGCTATAGAACTCTGAATAAATTAATCACTGAAATGTACACTTTAAATGATATATATGGTATGTAAGTTATATCTCAAAGTTAAAGACTTTTTAAAATATGTTTGTATTTATTTCAGAGAGAGGAAGAGAGAGAGAAACATCAATGAGAATCATCGATCAGCTGCCTCCTACACTCTCCCTACTGAGGATAGAGTCTGCAATCCCAGCATGTGCCCTGACCAGGAATCAAACAGTGAGTGACCTCCTAGTTTATGGATCTATGCTCAACTACTGAGCCACACCAGCCAGGTTCAAAGTTACTTTAAAAGTGACCTGTAGGTACATTTTCAAATACTGTTATTTGAAAGTTGTTATTCTACATCTTTGAATTAAGTTAAATTCAATTCTAAAGATTTGTGCTTTCCAGAAAGCATAATTTTAATAACAGCTTAAAATGAGAAGAGCTATTGATCAAATCTGTTAAATTTCTACACTCACAATCAAGTCCTTACCTCTCAAAGATAATTTCAAAATGATAACCCAACAGGGGATCAGGAACCGAGAAGCAGTAGTAACAACTGCTAGGAGATTGGGCAATAGAAATAATTGATGTAAAATATTCTTGAAATCTTGAGGAATAAGTTCTGATTGTACCTGAGCCAGTCTGATTGTACTTGAGAACTTATAAAGAAATAGTATAATAGAAAACAATTTCTCCATATTAATGAGCATACCTTTGATATCATTTCATACTATCTTTGAATTGTGAAGAAGAGGTACTGCATGCTCATCAAATGAAAACAATGCCCTTTTATAAGAATTGCTAAACTGCATCACAGACAATGGAATTCTGACCTGGTTCAGTAAGTAAAAAAGGGCTTTAAGCTAGAGATGAGACACTAATCTGAGGATCAGACATAAAAGCCCTTCAGCCTCAGATGCCCTCTCTCAAGTGGAACCCCACAGCATGCTTAAGGTAGCTTAGTTTATATTTTTGTCCATTAATATAATAATTGAAACTGTCATTCAGATATCTTAAGAATTTTCTACTCAACACTATCTACATTCAATTCTAGACAACCCTCTATAACCATTAATAACCTAGCAGTGAACAACTAGTGTATTCAAAATTATACTCCCTTAAAAAAAGGGCAAATATAATTTAGAGAAACTTTTTTTTAAATCTTACCTCCCCATTGAAAGCATTTTATCACTTCCAGAAAACTCACAACCAAAAACTACAAGTCCCTTTTAAGACTTCATTTCAGCCCTATCGGGTTTTGCTCAGTGGATAGAGCATGGGCCTGTGGACTGAAGGGTCCCAGTTTCGATTCCAGTCAAGGGCACACGCCTGGGTTGCAGGTCGGGCCCCAGTGGGGGGCGTGCAGGAGGCAGCCAATCAGTGATTCTCTTTCATCATTGATGTTTCTATCTCTCTCTCCCTCTCCCTTCCTCTCTGAAATCAATAAAAAATATTTTTTTAAAAAGACTTCATTTCAGATTGGACTTCTCATTAGCCACCAAAAACTTGGAACTTTCCACATATACTTCTCAGGCACCATTTCACTATCTACCTCTTTTTTTTTTTTTTTTAATATATCTTTATTGATTTCAGAGAGGAAGGGAGAGGGAAAGAGAATCACTGATCGGCTGCCTCCTGCACAGCCCCCACGAGGGATCAAGCCCGCAACCCAGGCATGTGCCCCCGACCGGAATCAAACCTGTGACTCTTCAGTCCGCAGGCTGACGCTCTATCTGCTAAGCCAAACCGGCTAGGGCTCACTACCTACCTCTTAACCCCCAAAATACATACCTCAACCAGCTTAAGGGTCCCTCCAAACCATGGAGAAGGAAGAAAGGAAGAGAACTTCAACTGTGGTATTTTGATTACCCCTCCTCAAAGCACCCTGGTACCATAGAAAGAGGAGCTGGAGCCCTGGTCAGCTTGGCTCAGTGGATAGAGCGTCAGCCTGCGGACTGAAGGGTCCCGGGTTCGATTCCGGCCAAGGGCACATGCCTGGGTTTCGGGCTCGGTCCCCAGTGGGGGGTGTGTAGGAGGCAGCAGATCAATGATTCTCTCTCATCATTGATGTTTCTATCTCTCTCTCCTCCCTTCCTCTCTGAAACCAATAAAGAAATATATTTAAAAAAAAAAAAAAAGAAAAGATTCAGAGACTGACACCTGTGGACCAAAGCATCCCGGGTTTGATTCTGGTGAAGGGCATGTACCTTGGCTTCCCCCTGCCCGGGCCCTGGTCAGGAGGCAACCAAATGATGTGTTTCTCTCACATCAATGTTTCTCTCTGTCTTTCCCTCTCCCTAAAAAAAAAAGAAAGAGGAGCTGGAGAGAGGCAGAAAGTGTAAAATTCCAGCTATTGATAGTTGCCATCCTTCCCTTAAGAGAAGGGGTAAAATAGTATTCTCTTAAGGCTAAATCTGAGTTAGGATTTTAGCAACCTTTGTAAAGCATACTGGCATGATAAACTTACCTCAACGGAATCATTAGAACCAAGCAAATAAGGTCAATAGATGTAATTGGTGGAATTAAGCCCCAAAGGTTAAGAGGAACAGGAGTACACTTGATGAAAAGATTCACTCAAGAAGCTAGATGCAGTTATTTTCTTGCCATACCAAAGAAACTATGTTATACTTTGGGGAGAAAGGAAACACCAAGCCAAAGGGAAAGTATCAAGGAAGCAGAAAAGGATCCCAAACAGGACCTGAAGATGATTTGGTTAGCTATATATATTATTTTTTAAAATATATTTTTATTGATTTCAGAGAAAGGGAGAGAGAGAATCATTGATTGGCTTTCTCCTGCATGCCCCATACCCGGGATCAAGCCCGCAACCCAGCATGTGCCCTGACCAGGAATCGAACTGTGACCTCCTGGTTCATAGGCGTACGCTCAACCACTGAGCCACTCCGGCCAGGCTGATTAGCTATATTTAACTATTCAAAAAAGGTAAATTCAGAAACTGTGTAACTGGGAGGATTTAAAAAACCCTAACTAGTTATCTCTCAAAAGGGAGATTAAGATCTAAGTAATAGTCTGATGAGATCTCCTACAAACCAAACAGCCCCAGATGAAAAAAAAAAGTCATTTTCTAGTTAACAGAGAAACCAAAATTAAAGGGAAATGTCCTGCAGAGAGGAAGCAAACAGCACAGAATCGCTGAGCAAATGACTTGGATAACTGAATACCCAATTCATAAAGAAAATGAGAATAGTACTAAGAAATGGAAAAACCATAGCAGAGAGTAAACTGGAAAGTATGGAATGAGAAACCTGAAGGAAAAGTCTTACTGTGAGATAAGACAGTCACCTCAAATCTTAAAATATTAACAGAAAATGTCATAGAAATGGAACCTCCAAACTACCGACTAACCCAAACCCCATTATATAAATGTTTCCCTTTGGAAACTATATCCAGGTATTTCTAACAGACAGACAATGACCTTTACCAAGCACTCTGTAAGCTCAACCCTGTGCAGCACAGTGAAATACGAACATTACACTTCAGATGACAAACATCCAGCATCTCGAACAATTTCATCCTACAGATTCTTTCCACCAAGGCACAAGTGTTCGGACCTATCTGGGCCTCAACTTCTGAGCTGTGAAAGGTGGGAGCCCAACTAGATGAAATGAACTATAGGATCCCCACCTAATGACAGAACTGTTCCAAGTCAACTGCAGGTGTATCCGAGTCTGAGAACAAACCTTTGCGTTTATACTGTCATTCCAGAGCCAACCACAGGGAGGAGCGAGGGATTTGAAGAACTTCCCCAGGGAACGGTAGCTGGCTGTTACCTGAAGCCCACCTAGCAAGAGGATAAACCCTCCAACCCAGACATAATTAGGGCATTTCCCTAACGCTTCTGCCTTGCCTAGACCTCACAATACTCCTCACAGAGACAGCTCTTACACAGGTCTTTCTCCCTTCCTTTCCTAGTGTTCTCTGCTCTCCTTTGTAGCTTCAAATCCATTTTACCCTATAGGACTCTTTTATATCCAGACTTTTCCCCTTTTACCCAGAGTGAAGTTTTCTAGAAAAGAAAGTCAGTTCTCTGTAGGTTAAGACAAAAAAAAATTAATGAAATTATTGAAAACCAAGGAGACTATCAACTACAAGCACAGGCAAAGGACAGTTGTTAAGTTTCGAAAAACCCCAAATGGGGGAGGAAAAGAAAAAATCAAGCATAATTTTTAAAAAGGAATAATACTGATTGACATCACTCGAGTTTTCCGAAGGCCGTAAAAAAGCCTTGAAGAGAATACAGGCAATTCTTGGAGGTCAGGTCGAGCCTCTGAAATTAACATGCGGTGCCCAGGGCCAGGCCATTAGGTGTTAAGAACTTGAAACAGAGTATCTGCCCGGGCTTCCTTTCCCTGTCAAACTCTCCGCCCAAAGAGGCCTCGCACATATTTAACACAGAAATATAAAACATTAAGGACAGCCATCCCCCTCTATTTGCCTCTTCCTCGCAAGAGTAAATGAATGGTGCCTCGTTTACTCCCTTTACTCCCACCCGACGCCTCCCGCCGTCTGTAAGCCGGGAGAGCGGCGCTGGCACGGGAGGAAGGCGCGAAGGCGCGGGGAGAGGGCGGTCGGCGTCGGAAGGTGCCTCTCCACATGGCGAAGCCCTCGCCGCCGAGCCGGCCACCGGCGCACGGCCCCCAAGCCTCGGCAGTTCCCTCCCGCTCCCGATGCCGACCCCCCAGAACTGCCGCTGGGGACTCGGGCTCTCGATTCGGACCCGTCCCCGGGGGACGACCCCATCCCCCCGCTCCCTTTTTCTCCATCGGGTTCCCGCCCTCCAGCGACCAGTCTCTGGGCCCCTCCGGCCTCACCTCCATGGAGACTCGCCAACCCTGCATGGCGGAGAAGCCGTAGGGCAGCGGCAGGCGCGGCGCGCCGGCCCCGTCCCCGGAGCACTTCACCGTGTTGGGCTGGGAAAGGTAGGCGCCCATGGCGGCGGCGGGCCGGCGGCCTCAGGGGCAGGCGAACAGGAGCGCGAC